TTGGCCTGTAATTCTCTTTCATTGGTTTAATTATTATTTGTTGGCAACTAATATAAATAGTTTTTATATTAGTTGCCAACAAATAATTATTATATTCTTTTATCAAATATTATATTATTTCATCAATAATATAATATATATATTAATATATTATTGATTTTGTACAGAGAGGAAGGGAGAGAGTTAGAAACATCGATGAGAGTCATCGATCACCTGCCTCTTGTACACCCCCCACTGGGGATGTGCCCACAACCAAGATACATGCCCTTGACCGGACTCGAACCCGGGACCTTTCAGTCCCCAAGCCAACGCTCTATCCATTGAGCCAAACCGGTTTCGGCTCATTGGTTTATCTATCTGGTTTTGTTATTAGCGTGATGTTGGTTTCATAGAATGAGCTTGGAAGTGTTCCTTCCTCTTGATTCTTTTGGAATAATCTTAGGAGGATAGATTTTAGGTTTTCCTTGAATGTTGGTAAAACTCCCATGTGAAGCTGTCTGGCCCTGGACTTTTGTTTGTTGGAAGCTTTTTGATGAATGTTTCAATTTCTTCCATAGTTATTGGCCTATTGAGATATTTAGAATTTTCCTGATTGAGTTTTGGAAGATTGTATTTTTCTAGGAACATGTCCATTTCCTCCAGGTTGTCTTGTTTGTTAGAATAGAGTTGTTCACAGTATTTTTTTTTTAAATAATCCTATGTATTTCTGTGGGGTCTGTTATTTCGCCTCTTTCATTTCTGATTTTGCTCATTCAGGTCCTCTCTCTTTGCTTCTCGGTGATCCTGGCTAGAGGTTCATCAATTTTGTTTATCCTTTCAAAGAACCAGTCTTGATTTTGTTGATCTTTTGTGTGTTTTGTGTGTGTGTGTGTGTGTGTGTGTGTGTGTGTGTGTGTGTTGTTTTTTTGTCTCTATGTCATTTATGTCTGCTCTGATCTTTATTATCTTCTTCCTTCTACTCTGTCTTGGGTTTTCTTGTTGCACTCGTTCTGATTCTTTGAATTGTAGAGTTAGATGATTTATTACCATTTTTTCTTGTTTTTTGAGATAAGCCTGTAGCACTATAAACTTCCCTCTCAGGACTGCTTTCATTGTGTCCCATAGATTTTGGATTGTTGTGTTTTTATTGTCATTAGTTTCCAGGATGTTTTTAATTTCTTCTTTGATCTCTTTGGTAACTCAATCACTGTTCACAGCATGCTATTCAGCCTCCAAATGTTTGAAATTTTGGGGCTGTTTTTATTGTAGTTTACTTCTAATATTATGCCATTTTGATCTGAGAAAATGCTTGATATGATTTCAATCTTCTTGAATTTGGGGAGACTTGGATTGTGACCCAATATGTGGTCTGTTTTTGAAAATGTCCCACGTGCACTTGAGAAGTATATTCCGTGACTTTAAGGTGAAATGTTCTGAAGATGTTAATTAGGTCCATCTGATCTAGTGAGTCATTCAGGATTGCTGTTTCTTTGCTGATTTTTTTTGTCTAGTGGATTTATTCAGTGATGTCATGGATTGGTAGAATCAACATAATTAAAATGTCCATACTACTCAAAGAAATCTATAGAATCAAAGCACTCCCCATTAAAATACCAATGGCATATTTCACAGACCTAGAAAGAAATCTCAAAAAATTCATCTGGAATAAAAATAGATCCCAAATAGCCACAGCAATTCTGAGAAAGAAGAACAAAGTAGGTGGGATCTCAATACCAGATATCAAGCTGTATTACAAAGCCACTGTTCTCAAAACAGCCTAGTACTGGCACAAGAACACACATATAGACCAATGGAAGAGAATAGAGAACCCAGAAGTAGATCCAAACCACTATGCTCAATTAATATTTGACAAAAGAAGCATGAACATACAATGGAGTCCAGACAGTCTTTTCAATAAACGGTGTTGGGAAAATTGGACAGATACATGCAAAAAATGAAACTAGACCACCAATTTACACCATACACAAAAATAAACTCAAAATGGATAAAGGCCTTAAACATAAGACAGGAAACCATAAAAATACGAGAGATATCCACAGGCAGAGAAATCTCAGACATATGCCAAAGCATTATCTTCACCAATACCACTCCTAAAGAAATGGAAGCTAAAGAGAAAATAAACAAATGAGACTAGATCAAAATTAAAAGCTTTTGCCAATCAAAAGAAACCATCAACAAAACAACAAGAAAGCCCACTGTATTGGAGAAAATATTTGCCAATGTTATCACTGATAAAGTTTTAATCTTGGACATCTATAGGGAACTTATACAACTTAATAAAAGGAAAATAAATGATCCAATAAAAATATGGGCAACTGACCCAAATAGAATATTTTCAAAAGAAGACAGAAGGAAGGCAAAGAGACACATGAAAACCTGCTCAAAGTCACTAATTATCCAAGAGATGTAAATCAAAATGACAATGCGGTACCATCTCACACCTGTCAGAATGGCAATTGTCAACAAATCAACAAATGACAAGTGCTGGTGGGGATGCAGAGAAAAAGAACCCTCATGCACTGCTGGTGGGAATGCAGACTGGTGTAGCCACTGTAGAGCACAGTATGGAGTTTCCTCAAAAAACTAAAAATGGAACTTCCATTTGACCCAGTGATCCCACTTCTAGGAATATATCCCAAGAAACTAGAAACACCAATCAGAAATGATATATGCATCCCTATGTTCATAGCAGCACAATTCACCATAGCTAAGATTTGGAAACAGCCTAAATGCCCATCAGCAGATGAGTGGGTTAGAAAACTGTGGTACATCTACACAATAGAATACTACACTGCTATAAAAAAGAAGGAATTCTTACCATTTGCAGCAGCATGGATGGATCTGGAGAGCATTATGCTAAGTGAAGTAAGCTAGGCAATGAAAGAAAAATACCACATGATCTCACTCATTTATGGAAAATAAAGAACATTATAACCTGATGAACAAAAAGATACAGAGGCATTAAAGCATGGAACAGACTGTCAAATTACAGTGGGAAGGCTGGGGAGTGTTGGAGAGGGGAGGAAGAGATCAACCGAAGGACCTGTATGCATGCATGTAAGCACAACCAATGGACACAAGACACTGAGAGGGTGGGATGAGGGTATGTGACAGGGGATAGGTAGGCTGGGGGAAGGTAAAAAAAAAAAGGAGATATAAAGAAGCTAGGAGGTTAATATTAGCACCCAGGAATTTTCCATGTCATTTAGACAAAGAACTATATATTACTAGCCACTCATCTAAGAAGAATATTCAATACTTTCACTATTATCCAACAAGTTTCTGGAAGAAGCAAAGTAAACAGTTTTCACATTAGTTTTTCTCAGATGGGATGGGATTGGCTTGAATTTTTTATGATAATATTACATCCATTAGTGAAGTCGATTATTTTTACATTACGGAAAATGCTAATGGAATAACTTTTAATGGAATAACTTTTAAACTTTATTACCATAAAGACCATTGTAAATAATTGGAACCATTAAAAACTACAACTTAAAAATATTAACACCCTTTGATTTTAAACCTAAAATTTTATCATGGTGATTAAAAAAATGTTTTCATTGATTTTTAGAGAGAGAGAGAGGAAGGGAGTGAGATAGAGAAACAGAAACATCACTTGGCTGGCTCCTACATGACCCTTACTGGGGATCAAGTCCACAATCTGGAGATGTGAACTGGTGACTTCCTGGTTCATGGGTCTAAGCTCAACCAATGAGCCACACTGGCCAGGCTGATCAAGGTGAATTTTAACCTCTTATTAAAGAGTTTACAGTAATAATCTGAAAATAAAATTAAGAAGAGTTCCATTTATGATAAAAAAATAAAATGTTTAGGAATAAATTTAATAAAAGAGGTATAAAACTGGTACTCTGTAAAGTACAAAAAAATGTACAGAGAAATTTAAAAATACTTAAATAAATGAAAAGACATTTCACTTTCAAAACTTGCTACAAAGCTACTATTAGGTCTGTACCAAAAGGAGCTAGGCCAAGAGACTGTTAGAATTTAAGACATTTTATTGCAGAAGGTATAATATGGTAATAATATTTAAGATGGCAGTACTCCCCAACCAATCTACAAATTCAATGTAATCCTTGCCAAATGTTCAACTGCCTTTTTTTTTTTTTTGTAGAAATGCAATGACAATGGGTCCAAATAGCCAAAACAATACTGTAAAAAGAAGAAGAAAGTTTGAAGACTCACACTTCCCAATCTCAAAACTTGCTACAAAGCTATTAGGTCTGTACCAAAAGGCTGATCAAGAGACTCTGTGAGAATTTAAGACATTTTATTGCATTATCTCACATTGGGCTGAGACCACTGTGTCAGTGTCAGCACCAAGAGTGTGGTTAGGTTCTCTTATATAAGGTAAAAGTATGCAGTATAGGGTCAAGGTGAGGGTGTGCAAGTTGGTCAAGTGGGAGGGAGGGCACAAGTTGCTCAGGTGGAAGGGGGTTCATCTCATCTTGAGTCAGCAGGCACCATCTGCCTGCCCCAAAGTATGAGAAAAGGCTTATAACACTACATATTTCAGAAAACATGTCCAAGCAGGAGAGATGTCCACCAAAAAAAAAAAAAAATGTTTATAGCAACATTATTCATAATAGCCAAAAAGTGTTTGTGGGGGTGGGGGGGGGCACTAAATGTCATTTGACTGATGAATGGATAAATAAAATGTGGTATGTTCATACAATGGAATATTTTTTTCAATGAAAAGGAATGAAGTATTGATGCATGGTATATTAACCTGAAAACATGCTAAGTGAAAGGAACCAGTTTTGAAAAACATATTTATGTTTCCATTTGCATGAAATATCCAAAATAAGCTAACCTATAGAGATAGGATGTAGGTGTTTGCCTCAAACTGGGGATTTGGGAGGAAATGGGAAGAGTCTGCTAAATGGCTACCAACTTTCCTTTTGGGGTGATGAAAATGTTCTAAAACTGTGGTGATGGTTTCTTAATTCTGTGAATATTAAATGAAAGATAAATATCATTCTCCACCACTGATAGACCTTGAACAACCTGTTATTCTTTTGGTTTGCACTGGGATGGGGGAAAAAAAAAAAAATCCCTGCACTTCCTATCTGTCTTTGTGGCGACCCAGATTAAATAAGGAACTACATTTGAAAAAAAAAAAAAAAAAAAGATAAATACCATTGAACTGTACTCTTTAAGTGGGTGAACTGTTTGGTATGTGAATTGTCCTATATAATAAAAGGCTAATATGCAAACCAACCAGTCACTATGATGCGCATTGACCCCTAGGGGGCAGACGCTTAACACAGGAGCTGACCCCTGGTGGTCAGTGCACTTTCATTTGGTTGTCAGTGTGCTCCCATAGAGGGAGTGTTGCTCAGCCAGAAATAGGGCTCAAGGCTGGTGAGCACACTGGCAGAGCCTCTTCCGCCTCCTCAGTGGTGCTAAGGATGTCCTACTGATGGCTTAGGCCGGCTTCCTGTGTAGGACATCCCTTGAGGGCTCTTGGACTGTGAGAGGGCTCAGGCTGGGCTGAGGGACCCCCCCGCCTCCGAGTGCATGAATTTTGTGCACCAGGCCTCTAGTATCTAAATAAAGCTCTTATAATGAGATGGTGTTCTTCCACAATTACACAAATAGCAGACTTATTTACTTCACAAAGATTGTATCTACTATATGCCATGTGCTGTGCTCAGTTCTTTTGGAGCCAAAACACTACACTTAGTCAAATTTGTCTTCAAAGAACTTCATTACAGTACCTGTGCATCAATGGTGTTAACTACAATACATGAAAGAAAGTGAGAACTGAACCCAAAGAGGTACCAAAAGTTATGATGAGTATAAGATCTAATCTAAATAGGGGGGGATTGCCATTTGGGGCACTGAAGAGTACTGAGATTTTGACGGGTATAGTTAGTTCAGTGAGAAAGGCATTCTATCTGTGTGTAGTGGGGTGAGGGAAGGATCCAGAAGCAATGCATAGCAGAAACAATGGAAGTGAAAAGCATCGATTGCATTTAGGAAATGTCAATTACTTGACTTAATCTGAAGGTAAAAACTTGGGGATAGTTACCCCCTAAGACAGGAAAGGCAGGTTAACCCATATCCCGGAGGGCATTGAATGCCATGCTAAAAAGTTCGGATTTGCTTCACTGGGCAAGAGAGTAACATGAAGGCATTTGAGAAAGAGAGTTACATGATCAGAACTGTGCTTTAGACATATACCCTTGTCACCTGACCCTACATCCACCCACTCTCACCCTTATCCTGAATCACACAGTAGGGATTACAAAAAACTCTTAAACCCGCTGAAAAACTAGTCAAATATGATACAAAGGAGAGTCAGAACAGCATCAAGTTTCTCAAGAGCAACACTAGCAATGCCATAAAAATGTGACAGAAAATAGTATTCAACCATGAACTCAATGAAATAAATTCAAGGAATCAAAAGCATTGTCTTTTATGCTATTTTCTTAAAAACTTCTGGAAGATGCACTCTAGCAAAATGAGGGAATAAAACAAGACTAGAGAAGCAATAGGATTTAGGAAACTTGGTCCCACCTAGGAGAATGGTGTAGGGAAGTTTCAGGATGACAATTGTGCAGCAAACCTGAAAAGCAACCAGCTTAGATTGGTGCAAGAAGATGGGAGACCCTAAGAAGGTGATTTCTGAGCATGGGGGGAAGAGGATTTGATGGAATATCTAATGGAGAAGATTTAGGATATGTGGATATCATTTTCTTCAGGCAAAAGAAAATGAAACAAAACATAATTAGAAATTCCAGAAAAAATATACTACAAGAAAAAAAAATAATATACTACTCAATTCTATAGTAAATGATATTAACATAACTGCAATAGTGTAAACACTTGCTTTATTTTAAACTATAATTACAATACAACTATATAGTGTCAGATGGTTAGATCTTCATCTATTTGATAATTTTCTAGCCTAACAAGAAGTCAATAGGTGATGTCTGAAACTGATGAATCTAAGAATACCAGTAAAATCATACTGTAAAGAAACTCAGTTATAATTACTAGAAGAAACAAAGTATTTAAGTGGTTGCGTCTGTGGAACAGAATTAGGGTGTAGAAAAAGGTGTGTAGGGGAACAGTAGTTTATCATTATGTGATATTTGATTCTGAATTCTTTGGTTTTTCTAATATTCATAGTTATATTAATACATATTTTCAATTATACATTTATACAAATTCTAACTCTGGGTATGCTGTGAAGTTTGTCTTGCAGAGGATTGAAACTTAATTAGATCCTGACCCGTTTCGCTTAGTGGATAGAGTGTTGGCCTGTGGGCTGAAGGGTTCCAGGTTCAATTCCAGTCAAGAGGTTCAATTCCAGTCAAGAGCTTTGATTTCAGTCAAGAGTACATTCTGGTTAAGAGCACATTCAGACCAAGAGCACTTACCTCAGCTGCAGGTTCCTCCCTGGCCCAGGCCCTGGTCGGGGCTCATGCAGGAGGCAACCAATTGATGTGTTTCTCTCACATTGATATTTCTGTCTGTCTTTCCCTCTCTCTTCCACTCCCTCTAAAAATCAATGGAAAAAAAATTCTTGGGTGAGGATTAAAAAAAAAAGAAAGAAACTTAATTAGAAGGGTAGCACAATATTCCTAAGATAATAAGGGTGTGAACTAGACTGGTCAAACAAATGTTCAACCAGATTTACTCAATTTATATTCACAAATATGTTTTTCTGTTAGGAGTCTCATTAGAAAATCCTCAGAGTGGGACCTTGTCTATTTTGTTCACTGCTGTATCCCCAGCATCTATCATAGTTCCTGGCACTTGTAAAATCTTGATAAATATTTGTTGAATAAATGAATGAATAAACCTTGACGCATTTTTGCAAGGCCAAATTGCATTCTTTTGGATTCCTAAAATGGTGCTCAGTTATAAAATGAAAGCCTCCTTAGATGGCAACAAAACAATAGCCACATCACTTGTCTCTCATTTCCCTAGAAAAGGCAGAATAGAGTGAGATTCAGTCTCATAAGAAACAGGACGACATCTCATTTCAGCACAGATAAAATCTGTGGGATGTGTGCATTCCCAGGTAAAGGGGGTAGAGAGAACGGAGGGCAAACCTTGTTCTATTTTGACCTAAGAGCTTTAGGATTTCCAAGATTTCATTCTCTTTATATCTAACAAATAGACCCTGATCCAATGCAGAGTTGTAAAACCATGATCTGGATATTTTCAAACAAAGTGTTTGAAGAGAATTTTGTATAATCCCCACGGGCTTAAATGGAATTTGAGAAAGAAATATGCCAAGACTGGTTTGGCTCAGTGGTAGAGCGTCGGTCTGCGGACTGAGGGGTCCCAGGTTCGATTCCGGTCAGGGGCATGTACGTTGGTTGCGGGCACATCCCCAGTAGGGGGTGTGCAAGAGGCAGCTGGTCAATGTTTCTCTCTCATTGGCGTTTCTAGCTCTCTATCTCTCTCCCTTCCTCTCTGTAAAAAATCAATAAAAAAAAGAAATATTCCAAGAGTCTAAGCACCTGAGAAGTATTAGATCAAGCTATACAACTGTTTATGAGCAGTGCCAATGGAATTGTGCGTCATTATATATATTAGAAATAAGAAAGAGATGTTGGTTATCCTCTAGTCTAGATGAAAACAGTTGAGTGTATATTTCATCTTCAAGCTCACTTTCAGAATCCTCTCTGAATGCTGGCACTTTAACTTTCAAGCAAAAGTTCTACTAAGACACAAGCAAGGTTAGATTCTATATAAACCCCACCATCTCAGAAATTATAAGGCAGGTTATAGACTAAATTACTTCATCTATGTATAGTGACTTCACATCCCTAGACACTTAAGTTTAGAATCTTATTTGAGCATGCCACTGTATTGTATCTATAAAATAAAACATATCTGTTAACTGCACAAAATCAAGTTACCAGGGCAAGAAGACACTTGCAAGGGGGGGGGGGGGGAAAGGCAAGAATCATGTTAGTGGCAGAGGGGTACAAGTTGGAGATTTCACTTGCTTTCTCTCACCCTACTTGGCCTCATTGGTTTCTTTCTTTTAAAAAAATATTTTATTGAAAAAATATTTTATTTTTTTACAGAGAGGAAGAAAGAGGGATAGAGAGAAACATCGATGAGAGAGAATCATCGATCAGCTGCCTCCTACACATCCCCTACTGGGGATGTGCCTGAAACAAAGGTACATGCCCGTGACCAGAATCGAACCTGGGACTTTTCAGTCCGCAGTCAGACGCTCTATCTACTGAGCCAAACTGGTTTTGGCTCATCGATTTCTTAATATCCCCAGCCAGGTCCATTCCACCACAACTCAGTGGCTGCTTCATCTCAAAACATACCTTCTTCAGAATTTGGGACCCTTGCAATAAGCTTCGACTTGTAGCAGTTAACACTTAATTCTTGTTAACCCTTGGAATTTCTAAGCTAGTCAATGTAACTGGTATTATATTATTTCGTTTCATTACTACTTTTGTAATATGAAAAAAGATTTTTAAAATTAAGAATTGGGAGAGTGCTAAGAAATGAAAGACTGTTTGTACTGTCTCAGTGTCCACAAGGCATAAAATGTTTCTCAACATTGCAGCTGCTAAGTAACACAAATAGTTGTCCAATCTCCTAAACATGGGCTATGTACTTTAGCATTCCTATGATACCATTCCAAAGCTGTTCTAAGTCCTCCATGATTTCAGTGCACTACAGGGATAGGAAAGATAACCTCTCATTTCTTATTATTTTGCTGTATACTGAATGTTTATATCTCCCTCCCTCTCCCCAATTTGTATGTAGAAACCTTAACCCCCAATTTGATGCTATTAGGAAGTGAGGCCTTTGGGAAGTGACTAGATCATGGGAATGGAGCCCTCATGAATGTGATTAGTGCCCTTATAAAAGCGACTGCAGAGAGCTCCCCTGTCCCTTCTGCCATGTGAGGACACAGCTAGAAGAAGCTGTCTGTGAGTCAGGAAGAGGCTTCTCACCAGACACCAAGTCTATCAGCATGTTGACCTTGGACCTCCAGCCTGTGAGGAATAAGTTTGTGTTGTTCATAAGCCACCTAGTCTGTGGCAACTTGTTATAGCAGCCCAAACAGACTAAAACACCTTTGGAATCAACAGCCAACACCATGGCAATTCTAAACCG